TTAAATGATTTCATATTTTTAAAAAATGAATTTCATGCTATTGGCCTTGACCTAAATTTTTCCAAGTGTGAGATATTTTTAGATGACTCTACCGACAGACAGATCTTATCAAAATTTAATACTTTTGCACCTAATATCTCGGTGGTTGATAAATGTTCACTTCGCCTCCTAGGTGCGCCCGTCTTCGAGGACTCTTTTCCAAGTTTTATTGAAGAAAAAATTCAAAATTTTTCTGTCGTTTCAGAAAAACTATATCACATTAGAATGCATTCGGCTTATACTATTATTCGGTTTTGCTGCTTCGGTCCCAAATTTATGTATTTTTTGCGCTCGACCCACCTCTGGTCTGCACCCCTTCTTTTAGAAAAAATTGACCAAATCATTAGGCGAACCCTGTCCTTAATTTTGAATGTGGCTCTTGATGACCGAGCTTGGACTCAAGCCACTCTGCCTGTCCGCATGGGTGGGCTTGGCGTCCGTAAAATTTCCAGTGTAAGCCTACCGGCTTTCATATCTTCCGCCCTTGGTACTGAAGAATTAACCAGGAAAATTCTTTCTCAATCACTGGTTAATTTTGATGTACCATGTTTAGTGGAAGCTGTGAATGCTTGGAAAATCGCTTGCCCAAATATTGACCCCCCCGTCAAATCACATTCCCAGAGACAATGGGACGAGCCGCTCTGCAGAAAAGTGAGCGAAAATCTCTTGAACTCCTCTTGTTCAACTGCAGAGAGAGCTCGCCTTTTGGCTGTGGGTGAGTGGGAGTCGGGGTTATGGCTTCTTGCTTTACCTTCGTCTAACCTAGGTACTTTGTTGGACGACACCACGTTCCGCGCTGCAATTTGTTTAAGGCTTGGAGCTTCATTTTGTTCACCTCATCGTTGTCGTTGTGGTGAAGATGTCAACAGCCTTGGACACCACGGCTTGTCATGTAGCCGTAGTGCGGGCCGTTTTGCTCGACACGCAAGTATTAATGACATAATTCGTCGAGCTCTTGCCTCCGTTGGCGTGCCAGCTACTTTAGAACCTAATGGCTTGGTACGCGACGATGGCAAGAGACCCGACGGTATGTCATTATTCCCTTGGAAGATGGGTAGGGCTTTAGTATGGGACGCCACTTGCGTTGATACTCTGGCGCCATCCCATCTTCCAAGCTCAGCGTGTCGAGCCGGTGCTGCCGCTGCTGCTGCCGAGAACCTCAAACGGCGAAAGTATAATAGCCTGATTGGCAATTATGCTTTCGAACCGTTTGGGGTTGAAACTTTAGGGCCGTGGGGCCCAAGTGCACATCTTCTTTACAAAGATATTGTAAGGAGGATGGTTGACACTTCAGGTGATCGAAGGGCTGGCTACTACCTTGGGCAAAGGTTAAGCATTGCCATTCAACGTGGCAATGCTGCCAGTCTTTTGGGCACCCTACCTCACGGTAGCGATGAGGAAAATGTTTTCTTTGATGCCTTATGATTTATTTTTATTATTATTATTTTATTAAGGTGTAAATATTTTAGTTTTAAATTTGTTTTTATATATATTTTAAGTTGTATATATTAATTTTTATCTTGTATTGTATATATTTAATTGTATAATAGTTATTATTAATTCTAGAAAATAAAAGTAATTACATTAAACACGGTATTGATTAAAAACTGTTTAAAAAGGTTTTCCCTATCCGTTTGTTGCATAGATTTATAAATATAACATTGCTTCCATTCAGAGATACATAAAAAGTCAATCAAATCTACAAACGTCATGTAAAATGCCAATTTCCAGTCATTTTCGGAACGTTTGCTACCAAAACTAAAGCGAAATATATTTTTATTTTAAGTTTTTCATAAGACAACCGTGTAATAACCAATTTGTAAAAATGTCTGTTTTCGACGGCGAAATAGAATACCGCACGGTCTATATGGTGGATTATGAAGTTAAGAAAAAACCGTAAGTACCAACTTTTGAAAATCCTAACTTCTTAACTAAATAAGTATTTGAGTAATTTAGATCTCCTTCCTCCTCCTTAGCAGTAGGTATTCTCTTTCAGAATGGCTGTACCTAATGGTCCTTATAAAGTCTTAATAAAAATCGTAACAAAAGTGGTACACAGTTACACAGATAAAAAATATCCATATCATTCAAAATCGCTTATAATATATAGCTGCAAGTTCTTTTCGTATTATTAAGTATACAGGTTTGTACAAATTTTGACTGCCTTGTTCACGGAGTGGTCACAAATGCAACTGCCGGGCAAAGGGTCTCGGGGTCGATTCCCGGGTCGGACAAAGTAATACTGGGTTTTTCAGTAGTAGCACGGAGTCTGGAAATGTGCCCGGTATATGGCAATAGGCTCACCCTCTATTACATGGGACTCATAACATAAAATAGTGAAAAGTTGGTGTTACATTGTACAGTGACAATCATACACATACTCCAATTTGTCAGATCCCTTTAACCCGTCGTGTGTCTAGCCGTGGATCCACGCGAGACAGCGTATTAACCGACAAATTAAAAATGCGGTTAATACATTTTTAACTATCCTTTTGCAATAAAATCCAAAATCATTCTGTACTTATTACCAGTTCACCTCTATCTACAGTAAGAGTCCTCGTCGCAAGGCGGTTGACGACAACTGTCTCATAGTGGGCGTGAGCCGGGACATGCTGAAACCTAAAGACGAGACACAGAGACACCCTGACGTACTATGTCCATTGTCTCGTGAATACTACAAGAAGGCTGTCACAAGAGTATGAGATAATGATGAATTTTAGAGTCTTTCTTTAATTCTTAGATTTAATCAAGATTCACGAGTTCTTTGGTAACTCTGGTCCATTTAAATTGTTATCTACAACATGCCTGGCAATTGTTAAGAGTAAAACTTCCTCTTTTGTAGAGAAGGCCCAATAGCAGTGAACTTTTTCAGGCTATTGATGATCGAGACCTGGCTTGATTCTTTACGTGTACCTGTTTAGATTAATAAAAGAAAAGCGATTGCTTTAGATACCATCTATACCTTCGTTGGAGTAGGAACCTAGTGGTGACGAATTTCATTAGGCAATCTTAATTAAAATTTCATTAGTATTCTTGTCGATTCCAACGTGCAAGTTCTTTCAATCCTAAATTATGTTCCGATAGTTCGCAGAAGATTACCCGAAACTCGCGAAGAAGTACATGAAGAAAGATATCGACCCGGTGCCCATAGAAAACGAGATTAAAGACCTAAAGAGGACTGAATATTTAACTAAATACTGTTCTAGAGGTAATCGTTATAATGCTTTTATAATTCAAAATGGGACTATTAAAATAACTAATAAAACGTAAATAGGCTAGTTTTGTGTTTCCACTAGGGCTTACTTGATCGTCATACAGTAAAAGGGTTTCATGACAAAATCTAAGTAGGTAAAACCAATTGTATTCTATACTCAAATTACCTACACTAATGTCTTTAAATGCACACACATCACAGCTTTATAAGTTACCAATACAAATTAGAGATTCCACATCAATTAACATAGATATTTAAAAATAGATTGAAGTTGTTTCTGGCTAAACAACAACAATGATAGTATCAATATTGTAATCGGCAGATCGAACGACGTAATGATATGTATTTTTGTAAAATGTAGTATTAAGTGTCTCATATTTAAGTGAAATTTATTTGTTCTTTTGAAGAAATACATTTCTTTTGACCGAAATGCAAGAGTGAATGAATACCTCCTCCGTTCCAGATCTCCCATTTATGTCCGTAAACCTGACGCGTCGCGCGCGAGCACTCCAGACCCTGCGTCTGCCAGACGACGTGATCATACCAGACACCACCCAGAGAGGATCATACCGTCCTCCCAAACCGGAGAAGTATGCAGAGCCGCCTAAAAGCATGTCTATGAAACCACGATTTGATGATTCTTTGCAAAGTTAGTAGTTTCTTCACTTTTTAGATAGAAGCATCATGTCTTATTTTCCCCCTCTGTTATCTTAGGCTCTAGAGACAGACATACCGCATTTCAACTGCAATCCTAACGCAAATTGCCGGTCGTCCGTCCGTCTAGAGCCTTCCTAATCTTCCTAATCCAATCTATTTATCTTTTCTTTGGTTTTCTCCTTTCTTGCAATTCATCATAAGTATCCCACTGCCCAAGACTCTTATCACAGAAAGAAAGAACACTAATATAGCTCCACTAATAAATAAGTTGCAAGATAAATACGACACATTTGTTCCGAGGTACTGGGGCTCCATAATATTTAAGAGGTCCTGGTACTTCGGAACAAATATGTTACATTAAAGTGTAAGATGAAGGATATGAGAATTGAATTAATGTGTAATTATAGAGGTAAATAATAAAGATAGAACTTTGCACCGCTTTGCCATTTTTAATTCTCTACTGAATAATTTCCATTTTTCCAATTACCTAAACTCCATTACCTAGCCCTCATTAATCAGTAATTCCTATCTGCAGAGGAGCTTCGCAGAATCCTGAGAGTTAACACTGGCGAGACGACGTACGGCGCATGTCACGGCTTGTTGGCAAAGGTGATCTTGGAAAAGAATCCCTTCGGCAAACCACGCAAGGAACCAAGATACGGGCGATGGAAGAACCCGTACATGTTTACCTATAGAATATGATTTCAATGCGAAAATAAACTTCTCAATTGGTATCGTTTCAGTTTTATTTCATGAAAATAGTAGTGTTATTGCTATAGGAGATTCAAAAGTGAATACTGCTCTTGGGTGCTTCGTGAGTTTCTTTAAAGAACAAACCGGAGCGGCTAGATAACCTTCGCTCATTACGGTACTACGAATCAAAATTATCGCTAAAATTGAAATTTATATAAATTTTAATGTAGTTTTACTTTCAATTTTTAAATTGGTGGACGTCCAAGTCACATATATATTTGAGATACAGCTTCAACTATTGGATTCTTGCTGCGTCTGTACGTCACTATATTTTTATGGGTAATTAGGTGCCGCGCCAGGAACCGGGTGGTATCCTGCTGTCCGTGGTGAATTTAAGAGACAACACACAACAAACTAAAACCTTATTCAATAACAGTGTGACATTGAACAAAATGAACCAAAAACTTCAGAAATCGAGACCACAACGGTCTGTCAAAATGGCACGCGCGTGGTTTATTAAATTTTAGTGTACCTATGTAAAATACAAGTTTAAAAGTTTGGAATAGATCACAAAATTGGCCGTAGTAATGAAATGAGCAGGAGTTGAATCCGTAATGGATCATTACCTGACAACCTACAGGAAGGACTATTTATGGCCCAACCTGCCTGGTACCACTGAACAGCTACAGGCTAGTGGTGCAGGAGGTGGAGCCGGAGGTGGGGGCGGGGGCGGTGGTGGTGGCGGCATTGGGGGACCTGGCTTGGCAGAGTAAGCTCTTTTCTAAATTGAGAACTACTCAAAACATAGGTGTTGTAAGTTAGACTATAGTCTTAGTATTAAGATTTATTTTCTTTAACTGTTTATTGGAGTTTTGGAAATAATAATCAAGATCAGGTGGTATGGTTAGCCGCCACGTTCTTTGCAACAGTACCTACCTACCTACAATTTGGTTAAAAACTCGTAAACTTTATAAAAATTTCGAAAAGTATAAAATAAGATTCCTATAAAAGTACCTTTAGCTCTTTTTACTGACTTCAGAAAGTGAGGAGGTACTATGTTCGGCTGATTGTTTTTTTTTTAATTTTAAGTATTCAGTCTGTCTGCGGATTACTATTTATAAACAAACACTAACTTAGGTTTCCCTTAACTCAACTTAGGACCCATCTTTCCATTCGAGTAATAAGAGCAAAAGCATGCGCAGACAAAGGCTTAATGAGGGCAAAAATCGTGCCAGAGATAGGTCTATTGAGGGCGAAAATCGATTCCTAATTGTAAAAAAGCTCCACCGAGATCTGTGGGTCCACAAAACCCGGTGATTTTAAATGGACGTGGCCACTCATCGTATTTACAAAAGCGTAACGTTTTCACCGCCCCTAGTATTTCAAAACTCTCCGGGCAGGAGTTAGCATTCTACCAGGCATGTCTACAACACTCCCGGCCGCCGGACTGCCGATGCCCCCAGTATTCTGGGGGGGAGATGCCTGTTCTACCACCTGGGAAGGAAGGAGGATGGAGTCGGAATGAGGTATGGCATCCATTAGTGTTTTGAGCTTGAATTTACATTGTACTTATGTTGAACGCGTCTTTTAACCAGGGCTAGTACAAAAGTGCTAGTGAAAACACCCTGGGGTGTTTTCAATAAAATTTCGATCGGTTCAAGTGACAGATCGAGGCGGGTAAAGGTGGAACATAACATAACATCACGCCTTTTACCCCCGAAGGGGTAGGCAGAGGTGCACATTATGCCACTGTAAGTACAATGTAACACCCACTTTTCACTATTTATGTTATGAGTCCCATGTAATAGGGGGTGAGCCTATTGCCATATACCGGGCACAATTCCAAACTCTGTTCTACTACTGAGATTTTTTTAAAACCCAGTAATACTTTGCCCGACCCGGGAATCGACCCCTTGCCCGGCAGTCGCACTTGCGACCACTCGGCCAACGAGGCAGTAAAGGTGGAATATATTTAATATTATTATACTAAGCACTATAACGCTCAATTATTGTAAAAAGTTTGTTCTCATTCAAGAATAGGCTATCTGTCTTGATAAAAATCCATTATAAACCTTTTCCAGATTATGGGACCAATGTTGGATCCGAAACTATATCCAGTCCGTGTTGGAGCGGCTCCAGAAACACCTACATCGCGATACGATCAACCAAATGCATTCTTGGATAAGGTACGGAGTGATACTCATAATCAGTTTGAAAAATATGTTTGATTAAGGAGTCATGATAACAACCAAGGTAGATAGACGAATAGATTGCAACAAGCAACTATATGCAAGTCATTAGGGATGCCTGTATTTACCAGTGGACGTTTTGTGGTTGATATAATTATTATGATGATGATAATAACAAATAAATTCCTCTTTTAGTTGCAATCGAAGTACCCGATGCTGTACAGCATCCTGCAGAACGAAGCCTCCCCAGAGCTGAAGCAGAGAATAGACCGGGACCGCAACAAGACCACTTACCAGGTCGACTTCTGCGAGTCAGGTAAATATTAATATTCACCTTCTCTGCACAAGTCTTTTAAAGACTCTATTATAAACGAGAACTTTAAAAAATATCTTTCAGTCACGTTATTAAGTCCTATTTTTTATTAAACCTAGTACCAAACACTATACACACTGCTCAATTTGACCGCTATGCGTAAAGGACCTACATAATATTTACTTTATATTTATTACATTCGACCAGGTCCCGGAGCCAAGTTCGAAGGTCTCCAACGAGCAGCAGACGAGAGCGGCACCGGTCCGTGTGCGCAACCGATGCGTTTGCCCGGGGATCCATGCCGCGTCGGGCCCAAGCCACCCAAGGCTGCGCCCAAGACCATCTCCAAGCAGGCAGGCGGCGGCGCCACCAGCGATCCCAGAGCAAAATGCGGTGAGATTTGTATTTTTATTATCATTGTGCTTTAAGGAATTCCTAAAAGAGCCTTATTTATAATTTATCAATGATTGTTTATGCTATAACCTTATACATTTTATTTTATGATGTAATTATGTTGATAGAAACGACATCTGCCACTCCACCGCTTGGACGCACGGAGTACCAGGACGGCGTGTCCAAGCTCGGCGCCATCATACAACACACCACACTATGACCACACTAGACCACCATGCAACACACCACACTATGGACAACTGGGACAATCATGGAATAAACTATTTGGATCAGATACTGATGGTGTTATTTATAAATAATTCTTACTTTACAAAGTCTTATGACATCCATGACAAATAATTTATAACATTTTGACAGTTCACAGCCACTCCGTGAAACAATACTAGGGTATTCAATAAACAAATACGAATAAAACACTTTCGAAACTGATAAATATTAGTGTATGTATGTAAAGTCAAGTATATCGTCACGTGGAGGGTCTCGCGCTGGAGATGAGTTCTCCGCGCTTGTACAGCGTGCCCGCGGCCGCGGGGCCCGGCGCCGGGCCGCTCCCCGCCGCGGGGGGCGCCGGGCTCCCAGTAGCGGGCCGTGCGCCCCCACCGGGCCCCGCACTGGGGGCCTCCTTGCGGGTGGTGGTCTCTTGCCGCGAGGAGCTACGCGTGCGTACAGTAGTCTCATCATGTTGCCGTAGCATTACTGCGCGAGCATCTGAAGTGTTGCGCTCTCTGGAATTGAATATATTTTCATTGTACTTTCAAACTTTAAGGAAAATGGCAATGTACGCGTGATCAACTTGTAAGTGTGGTTACCTGCTAAGCGCCATAATTCTGTCAAGATCGGGAGAGGGGCGTCTGACCTCAGCGGCGGAGGTGAGGGTGACGCGTAGTGGCGCGGGCGCGGGGGGAGGGCTGGCGGGCGGGGATGATGCCGCCGACGCCGATGCCGGAGATGAGGATCCCACTGCCGAGTCGCGCTTATTGGATGACTTATTGGAAGACTTGTTGGACGATTCTGATCCCGACGTGGACCGTCGCCGCGGTGTGGAGCGCGGTCCTCGCCGGCCCCCGCCGCGACTGAAGGCGGCGGGGATGTGGAGGGACGCGGTGATTACGCAGCTGTCATCGTCTGACCCGCCCAGCGTCTGAGGAAACATCACAAGATGAATAACAATTTGTCAAAAAATAGGAAAAAGTATGGTTGTTTGATGCAACCAAAAAAAGTTGTTACCTCGTTGTAGTCGCTGGCCGAGTCGTTAGAGTCATTGGAGTCTGTGCGTTGTTGCGGAGTGCTCCCTCCACACACGACGCCACTACTGCCGCACTCCTCACTGCTGCGTACCCTGAACCAATAACATTTTATATTGAGAAAGATCTACAAAATTGCTACCAACTAACTGTGCTACTAGCTTAGGGGCTACGGAAAGATGACTAATGTATTTAGAACTAGTTTCAACCAGGTTACAGAAATCATAACTATAAACACATTATTATTATAACTATGTTTAAATAACTTAAGGCAAGGTCTAAGTCTGTATGAAGCAGTACCTGGTAACAATAGTCATGGCGGAGGACAAGGAGCCGGAGGAGGTGTCGGAGGCAGCCGTCTCCCTCGTCCGTCTGCGCGAGTAAGTCTTCTCACTGCGCCTGCCGAGCATAGGCAGGGATATTAACAGAGAGAAGTGTAATAGGAATGTTATCAATATCACTTTTGGGACCAACTATTTCAATTCATCATATATTTATGATTTTTTATAAACTGACACCTTTAAACAAAAGTCTACGCAAATATTACCGAGCCTATATAAAATTCTGTAAGCCGTTTGATAAATAATTGTAGATATGCTCTCATTAAACCGTCTTCGCTAAAGATCCTGATGACCACTTACCATCTTCACTTCACAGCTTTCCACAAATCATTATAATAATTAGCAGCACCTAATTCCTGTGTTCTGGAAGGTGTTTACCTAGGCAAGTTGCCGGGACCACCAGTAGCTGCGGCTCCATGTAGGAATTGTTCTCTGGACCAAACTTGTCTCAAGTTGTTCTCATTATTCTCCGCATTCGCTTCAGCAGCACACCTGAAGAAGGACGATGCAATGAGGGAAGGGAGCACACGCATTCATGTTCTATTGTACAAATGGTCTTTGGGATCTTATGGCTTTCGTGTCATGTGGGTTCCTTTTGATCTGATTATTACAAAAGGCTAATGATGATGCAATGGGCGGACGAAATAAAAATGGTTCCATTGTATTGTTGTGTATTGTTGAACCATAGTATTGGTCTACAGGAGAATTCAAAACAGTGTCTTAAAACTATTTCACGAACTTTTTACTATAAGAAGGCACAAAGATTTGAGCGTCAGCATAAAATTTTGTTAGTATCTTCAATGAACCGATCACAAAATCAACAATGAACATGCATCAAAAAGAACAACAAAAACACAATAAAATTACTTACTAATGTATAGTAGATTGCTAGGCACCAAAGAACAGTAAACATGAAACCTGGTAAATGTAGAAAGGTTTAAATCCAAAAATTTACCGACTTACCTGCTTTCTGAAGAACCAAAGATCATACTAGATTTTTTGTAATCTATACGATATCGATATACCTAGGTATGACAAGGGTTATTCTGCAAGGAAGCTAGACAACACAAGGAAGCTGGAACCAGTTCAGACTGCAGCAGTAACTTACTCAGCTCTCCTCAGCAGTAAGGAGTCGAGGTGCGCGGGCGCGGTGTGCGCGAGGTGTATGTACGCCTCGTGCAGTAGTTCGGCCGGCAGTGTCCACAGCTCGGCCTGCTTCTCCACCAGTTGGCGGACGACGTTGATCACGTCAGCTCGCTCTGATAGCTGTTCCACGCTGAAATTATGGAAAAATATTGTCTGTATAGTAAAGCATTTATGTACATTTCTATCGTAAAAGCCAAACACTGACAAATTAATGTGACAGGTCCAATTCTCTTCCTAATACCCGATCCTCAATTTCCAAATCCCCTAACCCGTCCCTAATTGGCCGTCAGTGCAATCACGCCTCAGGTGATTCGTCTGTTCATTTGTCGTCCTGTGCCATCAAAATGAAGAAGATTGAAATAGGTACTACTAGATCAAAAACTACTTATTATAGAGTGTAACTAAATGCAGCTAAAAAGACCGTATCAACCAACCTTGCAGGCTCATTAGGTTTATTTCTATGCAGTATATTAGGTGCAAAGATGGTGGCCAGGTTGGCGGCGTCCATCTTGTTGCCAGGCTCGTGGTCGTCCTCGGAGTGTGCGGCGAGCTGCGCGAGGAACGACAGCAGCGCGTTGAGGGTGTCCCGGTGTGCTGCTGGTAACAGCTGGACTATCAGCCGCAGAGCTTCCCACTGGAAGCGGCGGTTGTGGATTTCTGTAAAAATGTAAAATTTTTTGGTGAATCTTATGACATTTTCATAATTGCAATTTTTATGATGAAGATCGAATCAAGATCTTAATTAATAAAGTTGTGGGTCTAGGCTTTCCATCATTCCGTGAACTGGTTTTTGAGGAGTAATGACGTTCCTTCTTTCCTTGTTCAAACTTGAAGAACTTTGGAATGTAGGTAGGTACTCCTAATCCTATTAAGTTCATATCATAAGACGTCATAGATACATAAATAGTAGTTTGGTAGGGTTTTCAAATATTGGTAGGTACTCACTTTGCGTGTTTAAAAAGGCAGGGTACAAGTCCCTGCAGAGTAGAGGGTCAGGAAGGTCCCTGAGGAACTCCTTCAGCAGAGTGGCGACATCGTGCGGACACACTGCCGCATCTAGCGCTGCTTCCTGACTCCGTTCCCAGTCCTCACGCAACTGGAAGATAGATCAAAGATTGTGTAATAAAGATTCGTTTTTAATGGGTTTTTATTCCCGAATCGGGGACAAACAAGCAGACGGATGGTAAGAGATCAGTGCCACCTATTAATACCTCCAACACCAGAGGAGTCATCAGAAGAGTGCGTTGCCGGGCCTTTTATAAGGAATACTCTCTGGACTCAAAGGTTGACGGTCGTAGCGGCGGAGATATAACTGTTATCGGTAACTATACTACTCACATAATGAAACGTACCCTGGTGTCTGGTGGCAACAGCTATTTTGGTTAAAAAGGGTTGCAGAAATGAGCATGTATACAAATATTTCCAGCCGTAAGTGTGCCAGCAATCAGCACGAAACTTAATACACAAGCCAAACAATAGCATTCAGTAATAAATGTAGCAAGTAGGTTACCGAGCCACTCCGCTACAATACCTTACGTTTGTGAAAACATCTAATTCGGTCGATCCATGTTTTATTCTCACAAAGCGTGTTTATTCTGGATTGTAAACAAGTGACTGATTCTGATTTAGTGCCGTTAATTCTGTCATAGCCGACAATACTTAGTTAGCTTGCTGATTGCTCAAATGCTGATTTATAGCTGGTCAAAAGTAGTACCTATAGATAGTGGCTGTTGTCTCAGATGCTAATTATGGGTAATTCTCTTCGATAGCGACAGTGGGAATCTGTAGAACCATAATTGAAATAGAGATTATGAAGGGCAATGTATCCGGGGGAGGAAATTACCAGAGAACATATGCTTGAATTACGTTAGACGCAGATTATATTAGTGAGATGCAAAGGTGATTGGAATAATGGCTTAGACAAATTATTATTTCAGTAATATATGTTTCACAAAACTGATTTTAATTAGTAATATGTACTAGTATAACCGAACTACACATGAGGCCAAAATTGAAATCCATGTATCCTAAAATGATGATGACTGGAACCGCAATGATCTCACCAAGTCATCGCCAGTTTTAGAACTAACACCAAAGCCAGAATGTGGCGTTATCTTGCCAATCAAGGGTTACTTCCTTAATTAAGATCTTCTACTGATTACCTAGCTGAATATCACATGGCAGTAATTCTGGGATGTTTAAAATAGACCATGATATACGTTCTATACATGATCTTGAAGACCTATTTAAGGTGTGGCTATGTTTAGGCATTGATGGGATGGGATACGCACATATATGCATTCTGTGGAAAGACCATCGGAATACTATGAGGTACGTAATTCTGTTAAAGTCATTTACCTAATGCCTCGTTGGTCGAGTGGTTGCAAGTGTGACTGCCGGGCAAGGGGCATCTTGATTCCCAGATCGGGCAAAATATTACTGATTTTTAAAAAAATCTGTCCGGTATTATGGCAATAGGCTCACTCCCTATTACATGGCACTCATGACATAAATAGTGAAAAATGCGTGTTACATTGTACAGTGACATTAAACGCCGTGATGTGCAGCTCTGCCTGCTTCGGGGATAAAAGGCGTG